GAGAATGTGTGTATCTGTGAAAAAACACAGTTCCTTTTGCCTGGTGGAAATACTAAACTCAGGAAAATCTATGGGAAGAAGGCCTATGTGGACTTATGGCAGAGTTACAGGAGTATTCTTCTCTTCTTCAGTCATCTCAGGGGTTGTGGCTTATACAGAAAAATAAGACGAAATACAAAGCCCCTGGTCCAAAGCACTAACAAATACTAATGTAAGCCCAGTAATTCACACTTCCACACTACTTTTATACCAGAAGAGCCAGGCTAAAGAAGACTACAGTGGTTTGCAAAGTACTATATTCTACACCAAAGCGATACCTGCAAAGAAAAATTTTATAGAAACTTTGAGCTGGTCCTCAGAAAAAGGTGCTTAAAAGTATAAAGTACATAAGCAATACAGTGAATCACAGAAACTTAAGTCTGCTTATCCCAAAGAAAACACGCCAGCCAGAAATAGTGACATTGCAGGGGACTTTGATTAACCAACACTTTCGATTAGAAATTTGAGGTTTAGAAATTTGTTACATAAAACCAAATTCTGTCAATACCAGCTCCCTGTCAGTCTCACCTCACCCTTTTCTTTTACTTCACATAAACTGTGATGTGAACCTATGGTTGTCTGACTCACACATCCAGGTATTTACTTTCTGTAAAAGAGACATTGCTCATTCTCAGTTATCATCTCAGCATCGACTATTTGATGAATGAATCAGTGAAAAGTTACCTATATCTTAAATTCTTATCTATACTAGTACAACAATAAGAGAAAACCACAACATAGTCTGTTAACACAACACTGGAGCTCAGACTTGTCACCATAAAAGACAATGTACTTTCTCTAAGAATAAAATCAGCCGGGCGGTGGTGGCGCACGCCTTTAGTCCCAGCACTCGTGAGGCAGAGGCAGGTGGATCTCTGTGAGTTCAAGGCCAGCCTGGGCTACCAAGTGAGTTCCAGGAAAGGCGCAAAGCTACACAAGAAACCCTGTCTCAACCCCCCCCTCCCTCAAAAAAAAAAGAATGAAATCAAATGCTGGTATAATAAACTATATAAGTAACTTCTATTTCCATTTCAGAAAGGCTTCAAATGCTATAAAAATAATGATTTCAGGAAAATCTTATTCTACAGATATTAGAAAAAGTAACTGTATGTTTCAATCAATTAAAAAAACCCAGCAAACAAGAAATAAATACTTTTTTTATTATTATATGATTTATTTCATAATGGTGGCTATTTTCAAAGACTAATGACTCTGAATTAACAATTTCGTTGTCTTTAAAAGGAGAAATATTCAGAATAACTGTCATTTATTGCTCATTTCAGAAGAGAGCTTTGTTGACTTTGGTGAGAAAACTTTTTATATGTTATCTAGATTGGTTTATGTCCCTACGTTCTTTAAACCAAAACAGATGTCTAGAAGTTATCTTCCAATCTCCAAATGTCTTCAAAAGATAGAAAGTACTTCAATGGTAGCCTTCAAACATCAAAGCTTTCTATTTTATGTATCTTTTATATACTGATATTTACTATTACATTTGGATGTTTATTTAAAATATGATATATCCAGATTATGGTTTCCTCTCCCTCTATTTTTCCCAGTTCCTCACCTCCTATCCGGATTCACCCACTTTCTGTCTCTCCTTAGAACACAAATGGGCTTCTACAGGATAATAGTAAAACATAAGAAAAAAAAAAAAACTAATACATCAAAGTAAGATAAAACTAGCAAACAGAAGGAAAAGAGCCCAGGAAAAGGCATAAGACACAGGCACAGATGCAGGGACTAACTTGTTCCCACACTCAGGAACTTCATAAAAGCACTAAGCTAGAAGCCATAATATATATGTACAGGATCTATAGAGTAAAAAGAAAGGGGAAAAAGTGTGTGTGTGTGTGTGTGTGTGTGTGTGTGTGTGTGGTTGTGTGTGTGCATACACACACAATAAAAAATGAAAGAAATAAAAAAAGGAAAAGCCCTGATGTGACATTATGAGACTGTGTCTGGTTTAATGAGATTTTTATGAATCAATATTACCAATGCTAGGCTCAGAAGAACATGGAACTCCCATAGAAAATATCAAAATGTGTGCTACATATGACCTTAATACATCAAAGGCATTTAAGAAATCCTACTGGGTGAAGACATTTCACTTATTTAGACACATTTGTCATCATTTGAACTCTATATCTTGGAAAAGTCACTGTAGAACAATTGTTAAAAATACCTAACAGGTCAAATATAAAGGGTTCCGTGATAAACAAGAGAGGCAAAGGAGTCCTTTATTTTTTTATTTTTAATTTTTGAAACAGGGTATTACTATATAGGTGATAGAAAGAAATTAAGGCAAAGCACTGTAGGACAACAGAACATACATTTCACACACCCACACACATGCATGCAAGACTACACATAAGCACACATGCCAAATCATGTAAATGAGACTAATTGTAAGTTATTTAAGGGGTAACTTAGTTGTTTACAATTGAACAATATGTAAACCAACAAAAAGGTTAAGGCAGTACAATTAGTAAACTAGGAAATATTAATTAACTGTAAGTAGTTTTAAAATGACCATCTTTGGTAGTATTCAAAGAAAAGCAAATGAAAATTAAAAATGACATTTTAATCTAACAAATACTCAAAATCTCATAAATATGAAAATCTTCAACTAATGCATAACCAGAATTCATGTGGAAACTTGGGGAAAATTAGAACATTTTTGGCAATGTATTTGGCAACATGCACCATAAGTCTTAAGTACATCCTTTTCTATTCTGTGCTTTAATGAAATAATTCAAACATTTTCTGACTATGCACGAAAGTATATTGATCCCATTGAAAAGTCAGAAAGACATTTCTATTACTTCCTTATTGAATAATACAAGCCAAATTAGGTGTGGCGTATCCAGTGGAACCAATGGCAAGGTATTTCAGATTAAGGATAACATGAAGTACTCAATGTTAGCAAGATGATGTGGACATTAAGTGCATAGTGCCTAGGGTCACAGTTGTGTTCAGAGGCAGCAAAGGGACAATGTGCCTAATGTAACTGTGAGTCCTGGAGAGACATAACGGCCAGTCGTCTCCTGATATAGGCTTGTTTAGGTGGATTTTATATTGCACAAGTAATTCTTTGAAGTTGGAAAAATAAACTTGGCCATTCAAAATGGAAACTAAAGTGCATAGAAATAAAAAATTTGAATATTATTAATATTCTATTGAAAAGTCCATTAAAACAAGTTCTATCAGATTTCAGTTTTACAAACTAATATAGTAGCGACCTTCAGAGGCTCTGTGTCAGTCCCCCAGGCCAAACCTCAACAGTATAGCCCAGCTGCTATCAATATTCAGCTAGATGACTTTCAACTGAGTGAGCAAATGTTCAAACAATATAATGATGCACCATTATCAGGCTAAGATGTTAATTTATGATGTTTCCAGAAGCACATTTTAACAGTTAATAGTATACTTTTCTAATACTCAGTTTTGGTAACACTTTTAGATATTCCTTGAACATTATTTTCTGAATTTCTAACATAAGCATGGAATTGGACTTAGATGACCTTCCCTTTCTAGAACAAACAAGTGTGCTACACTACTATACTCATTTTGCTTCTAAACATAAGATACGCCTATCAGTGTAAGTAAAGAGGGCAGGGCGGCACTGCCCCTCTCTCTCCCTGCGGGGAAACCTTAGGTGCATTTCTTGTCCCATGTCATGAGCTATTAGGATTCAGCAATGAAGTAGATGGAATTTACATTAAAACTGTCAATCCTCAGGGACTTGGAAAAAAAAGTCAAATCATTAAGGTTGATCATGAAACTACAACCCAATACACTATTTCCCCAGTTAGTGGTACCTTCTTTTTATTCTTTTATTGAAAATATTAGGTTTTTTTTTTTTTTAAAAAGTTAACATATTCTGATTATGGTTTCCCCTCCCCATACTCCTCTCCAACTCCCTCCATCCAGATCTACACCTTTTCTGTCTCTTAGAAAACTATGAGGCATCTAAAGAACAATAAAATAAAATAAAAAGAGATAAATAAAAACAAATCAAATATGACTCTTTTAACTCTATAAAATATAATAGATGTTTCTATAAGGTTGTAGTCAAATTTGTTAAGTTTTTCAAAAAGTTTCCATTACAATTAGAAAGCATACTACAAAGTAAGCAGAGAAAACAACAGAGTGGGCACACCCCTTCCCCCAGTACTTTCCCCCAGCTTTAGGAACTATTCCTGCTTCATCTAGAGTCCCTACATCTTAGTCACCCCAGGCTATTTTTACGGAAACCCCAGACATTGTTTTTTGTCTGTGAAGTTTCAGCATGAGTCTCCGAAGAATATTAAAGTATGCTGACAACTATGCTGTCACGTCTAGAAGAAATCAAATATCCAAAAATCTGCTTTTTGCTACAGTTATTTGTAGGGATTACAATGGGGAGCTGCCACTCCAGTCTCTGTGTGTCTTTTGTCCTCTCTACCAACCTCCCCACCTCCTCAGTCCTTCCTTTCTTCCCCCTCTCTCTGTAGCTATAGGGAGGGAACTCAGCCTCAAGCTCATGCACACCAGGCAAGCGACAGCTTCAGCCTAGTTTAAGTCTTTTTTAATCAGTACCCCCTCTCACTTTTCTCTCTCCTATGCTGCATTCCGTGGAAGAAATCAGTCCGTGTTCTACAGAATTTTCCTGTGTCAGTTTCTCGTGGATATAAATCTACTGACAGATGAGCGTTGTTACAGACTTGTTACCTAAGTAATAATGAAGGAAAGGGAATACACTTGACTTCCAAGTCCTCTAGAGGATACACCCTAGAAGACAGACAACACACACTGGAAAACTAAAGGGAGGAAGGCCCTTGAGGAAAGATCTGCGCTATGGCTAGTTATAGAAACAAGTGGTCATAGTTCTTTGTTCCCCAAATACACTATAATGTTAATAAAGCACCACACGAATCTTATGTGTCCACTGCATGAACAGGGAACTCGACAGGACTCACCAGTTTTCATTTCTAGTAAGCGCTTTTTCTCTAGCTGGCGTTCAAGGCGTTCTTTCTCTGCTCGCTCTTTAGCTATTCTTGCACGTTTGTCCTTTTCTGCTGCTTCTCTTTTTTTGATGTTTTCCTTTAACGCTTGCTAATACAAATAAATTTTGAAAAATGATTAATTTTAACCAGTGCTTCCACAAGAAAATTATCTAAAATCATACACAAGGTACAACCATGAGTGAATACTTTTCAGATAATGGTTAGTTCTCAAATGAGTAGCAGTCGTATAATACATACACATAAACCGTTGTTAAATATGTATCTATAAATAGCCTGCTAGATTTAAAGCACCTGCATGTAAATGGAATTACCTAGAAGGGAAGAGACAGAAACTAAAAATAGAGGCATTTAATACACAAATCAAATCTGCTTTCTAACATGTAAAGAGAGTCTTTAACTCTCTAAGAGTCATCCATATTTTCTCTTCTATAAGCATCTCAACTTTAAGGGAAGAGGTGAAGAAATGTCAGAAAAGGGAGGAAATCGCCATCTAAGAGTAGATAAAGATAACTGTATAAATACTTGATCCTGCAACTGTTGATCAGAGCCAATAAAATGCTAATGAAAAGAAGATCTCAATGGATATGTGATTAGTTAATTAATTTCTTACTTCTAAGTTTTATACCAATCAAGAAATGCCTCTCATGTGGCATTAGCGAGAATCAGCAGGTAAAGGTAGAATTTTGTAAGTGCCAACAAACAGCATGGCATCATATTACAACAAACAGACTATTTTATCTAAGTGTCAATGAAAACAAACAGGTTACAAGTTAATTACCAACAATAATTTAAAAGTATACAATCAAACTAAAAGTAAGTAGCCTAGTATTTTTCTTTTAAATGCAGGTCTAGAAATTGAATCCAAGGCTGCTGCACACCAAGGCAAGAGTTCAACCAACTGGACTACATCCCCAGCTCATTTGTTTTCTTACTGTTTGTGGCAGTGTTTGGGATTAAGCACAAGTACTCACAGATCCTAACACAAGCACTGAACAGTATAACCGCTTGTTTCTGTACCTGTGTGTGCATGAGGCATTTGTGTGTGTACATTTTCTGTTCATGCACACATCCAAGAATATGCGGATCAGATTCTGATGGCAGGCATCTTCCTTAATAGCTCTCACCCTTATTGTTTGAGACAGGGTCTCCCAATGCAACCGGAGCTCACCAATCCAGTTAGCCTGACTCACAAGTGAGTTCCAGGAAAAACCAACAAGCTCTGGGGACCTGCCTGTCTCTGCCTTCTCAGCACTGTGATTAAAGGCACTCACCACTGTGCCATACCCAGCTTTGGCATGGCTGCTTGGATACAAACTCAGGTCTCAGGTTTGAGAGGCAAGCATATGGCTGACTGAGCTATTTCTCAACAATTGACAATATTTTTAAAACCCAGAGATAATACAAGTTTCTTGTTAAAAATTACAAAGTAAATTATAATATTATTGGTAAGAACAATGACAGAAAAACTCTAAGAAAGAAAAGAAACAAAATATTAACCCACTCCCACATTAATTTCAATTAAAACTGTGGGGGACCCCAAAACAGCTTGACCACACAGCTGCCATGACAGGCTTAGAGGCCCAGACACAGTTTCTGGCAGGCAACACCTGGATCCAGGAAAGGCCATAAGCTTACCCCACCCAAATGGGCCTGCTTCTAAGAGGAAATCCCCGACATTCCAAACATTCCCTATACCCCTAGACAAATGTCAGCCAACCAGGATCCTGAATCCTGGAAATCTCCTCACCCTAACCTCTGCTATGATAAAAACTCCCCCTGCCTGGGTTTGGGGATCTCTATTCTGATTGCTGAGTCAGATACAGTCCAAGCTACAAGCTTGAAAATAAAGGCTCTTGCTTTTATATATGGGATTTGGTCTCTATGGTGGTATTTTGGGGGTTCCCATGATCTGGGCATAACAGGGTAAGGAGGAAATGATGTGCTTATAATCACATATTAAAAAAATAAACAGAAAAGAGGCCAAAATCATAAACAAACTAAAATACCACCCAATATCCCAGCAGTTGTGAAGTTTCTTCCACTAATTTTACACTAGATAAAGCCTACCGTGTAAAAATCAAGGAGCTGGCCAAGTGTGGTGCTTTGAATAAAAATGGCCCCACAAGCTCGTATACTTGAATGCTTAATCATCAGGAAGTGGCACTATTAGAAAGGATTAGAAGGACTGAGGGGGGTAGCTTTTGAGTAGGTGTGGTCTTGTTGGAGGAAGTGGGTAACTAGGGGTGGGCTTTGAGGTTTTGAAAACCCTTGCTAAACCCAGTCTGCCTCTTCTTGCCTGTAAATCAGGATGTAGCTTCCAGTTACTGCTCCAGTACCATGCCTGCTGCCATGCTCCCTGCCATAACAATGGATGATCCTCTGAAACTGTAAGCAAGTCCCCAGATAAATACTTTCATTTATAAGAGGTGCCATAGTCTCGGTGTCTCTTCACAGCAAAAGAACACTGACTAAGGTACTAACTGATGCTCTGTGGAAGAACATTACAGGATCACCTGTTACAAAGTGCTCACCAAGTTGCTGAGTTTTAGAGATGGAAAGAGATAGTGGTAATAAGGTTAGAAGAGTTAAGGTGTGCTAATACAAGTTCTTGGAAAGAACCATACCTTACATGGAACCTTCTCCACAAGGCTGATCCGTTGATTAGAATTCCAATTAATTTGGAGAAAGTTTCAGGTCCAGAGGCTAATTACAATTTATCATGGGCTATCTTTAGCCCAATTAATAGCCATTCCTTGCCCATCTCTCTGACCTAACATCCTTGTGATTATTAGATAAATCCTTTAGAATCCACGAACAGACCACTGGCTTCCACTAACCAAAAGACTAAGAATATTGTCAGACAGCATGAGACCTATAACAGAGATTTCCCCATTTGCTGTGACCACACACTTGATGTTTACAGCACTGTATTTGAAGTGTCTTAATTTATGACTTTCTTATTCTGTTACTATAAAAAAAGTTCATGAAACTCTCACACAATGAAACATGCAATGTGGAGTAAGCAGAATCTGCATTCTCAGACCATGGTCAGACATACGTAGCTCTAGATACATTAATTTTCATCCCCTCATTGGGATGACAATTATATTTGTGCATGGGTAAGTGAAGCCTGATGATTTAGGGGTTTCCAGGCTCAATTCAGAAGTTTTTAGGCATTATAAACTATGAGACTGAACACTGAGATGACATCACTAACCAAATACCTTTGTTCCAACTGTCATCTTGCAAGTACTTACACAATTAGTTCTGAGAGATGGAGGCAGTGCACCTTCCTAAAGCAAATCCACTTTTCTGTTGTTCAGAAATATAAGAGGGGGAATGCATGTCAGCCTCACTGCACTCTAGATTTTCTTCTGTAACACAAACCGCCATCCATGCAGCTGGTAACTGGGTCTAATCACAATGCCACGTGAGAATCTAGGTTCAGGAACTCCTTCTCCGAGTAATAAACGATTCTCTGTCTCTGAACTATTTTCTTGCATCTTCTACCAACAGCCAGTAGGTAAAGTCTCAAACTCTTCACAGTTTGTAACTGATACTAACACCAATTACGGTGAAATTATAAAGTGGTATCTGCAATTCTAGATGCTTTCACAGACAATCCTGTCAAAATTCAAACTGAATTCTGCACTGCCAGTTCTGGCAAAATAAAATCAAGTACTTGTAATGAAAGCAGGGGGGCAGGAAGTTGTCTTTGAAGTGGGTGTATTTCCACTCTTTTATGGCCACATATGCTAAGTCAGGTATGAGATATTGGCGGATACAAAAATCAACAAAAGCTAGGCAGGCAGATATAGTAATTCCAAAACAAACAACTAACTAAATATCTAAAGGTTCCTCGACAGTAAGTGCTTCAATGTTCACATACGTAGCCATGTATGTGAATGCATGCATACAGAAGATAGGCTAGAAAGACTGGATTATGGGAAAAAGCATAAACAAATATTCAGGAATAAAACAGTATTTCTTCCTTGAGGAAAATACAAGGTACAGCATCTAATAATAACTCAGAGATTATTTATAAATTGCATTAACTTCTCAAACTTTATAGTGTAAATTCCACTTTACTGATTGAACACATTTCAATGTGAACATTTATTAGAGCATTTATTATCAGCTATAACTGCCACATCCTCTTAGCAAAATAAAAAAAAAATCAGTTACCTTATAAGATCTATAAAAATATTTACCTTTAAAAATACAGTCTGCAGTAGTTCCCAAAGCCATTTTGTTTTAGGGAAATACAGTATTGGTTTTCATTTAAGTCTACCTCCAGC